AGGTGACAGTACTGAGACCCGTACAACCACACATTCTCAGTTGTTACTTCTTCCTGTTCCTGCCGAAGTAGTCTGTGGCAATCCTATTTAAAACATGTCTGTTTTAACCACAGGTACCAGTTGAGGAACTTGATACATAGATAGGGGCACAGAAGTCAGGTCCAGCCCAAAAGGAGAAAAATCTTGGTGGTCTTCACTGACCAGCTAGCTGTATGTCACAGGATTTCAACCCACTTGGAACTACTACTCTCATAGTGTAACTGGAAGTGTAGAGACCTCCCTGGCAGGAACAAAATCACCTGCTGATGCTGACAATGCAGGAAAATTCAACCCCAAAACCCACCAGCAAAAGCCTCCATGGTGCCTTCCAATGATTTATTGAAAAAGACCAGACAAAACTGATCAGTGACTAGATGAAGGTGGTTTGAAATAAGAAATTTGGAATCAATGAAAGGAGCACTCATGATAACAACTGGCACTGAGTGAACAGTGGGTGCCACTTAACTGGGACTGAGTATACAGTGGGTACCACTCAACAGCTGGCATTGAGGATACAGTGGGTGCCACCAGAATTTTTCTGTACCCCTTTATTTTAACAACCTTTTATCAACCTCATTTTACAGATGAAAAAAGAAAATAGGCTTCTACTGGTGATGGCCACCTCTATTTGATACCACTTTCTGATAAAGAGCAAGGGAGAAAGAAAATCTGGGGCCTTAGTAACTGAAGGTATGAACAAGGAAAAGTGTCAGAACAGGAGATAGACTTGAATTTGAAACTCCCCACCGGCAACCCCTAAAAAATTTAACTTCGGTACTATGACCAACCATCCTGTTTTGCAAGGAATAGGGAGCTCCTCAGAAGCAGGATTTCCAGTGCTAAACCTGACCGAGCTGAATGCCTTACCAGTGTATTTGATTAGGCCTCCCATCATTAAAAACACACAAAGTCTTTATGACATTTTCAGACCTAAAATGGTTCTTTTAATGCCTTCTCTAATCATTATTAAAAATACTAAATAACTTTTTCAACTTTCTGTTCAAGAAAGACGAAGGGTTTGTGGACAGATGAAGACATGTTAATTGTTAGTTTTCAATCATCTCATCTGTCAGTATAATCAAGAATCTGAGCAAGAAAGGACCCACATTCTACACTAAATTTTGGTCTACTAACTCCAGCTGTGCTTTGATTTTCTTTTCTTAAGTCAGATAGGATTACTTTTTTTAAAAGGAAAGAAAAGAAAGCCCTATGTCAGAAGCAAATTCAAAGAGATGCTTCTTAGAGAATCTGGTAGCAATCTTGTTGGGGTTTATAGATAAGGACTAAAGCTAAACCTCATTAAACTGGGCAAGAACCCAGCTCTAAAGTAGGTGAGCTTCATAATGATGGCAACTGACTCTTACTTATTTTTGCCCCTTACATTGGCACCTTGCAAAAAAAGATTTGTCGTAATTGCAGTTTTAATAAGTCATAGTTAAAGACAACACCAGTGACTTGGTGCTATTATTTATCTATGAATAAACTGATGTCTGGAGAAGGGAAGTTGATGAGAATGGGTACCTGGAGAAGAGCTGGACACAAAGTTAAGCTGAGATGAACCACATTAAGTGGGAAAGGAAAAATTCCTTAATTAAGGTGAGACAATACCCATGGCTACCAGTAGGTCATACAAAGAAGACAAAGGGCACTCGTATTTATCACTAGTCTCCACAGATCTTAAATAAGAGAAAAGAAAGTGAATGTTGAGGAATCCAGAGCAAATAAATGTGTAATGCTTCAAGTAGGAAACACAAACTCACTATAGAGATGCACCAAAACTGCTATGACATGCTGTAGTTTTCCAAAAATCAAGGGAAATTTTAGGCTCAATATCTCACAAGTACTTAACTGTTACTCTAAATTTCTATTTAGACAAGGGCTAATGTTTTTAATGCAACCAAATAGAACATGTTGCAGTCAAGGAAGATACTCAAGCTCCTACAACCTACCAGGGGCTGTCATAATGCTAGGCCATCAACCTGGAAAGCAACAGCAGGCTCTTTGATGACTAGGTAAGGCTGAGGCAATGGTGAGCCACATTCCTGACAAAGCAGACTTTCGTACTCCCAGAATGACCCAGGTTTATCCTATCAACACATGATCAAATGTACTGAACCAATCAATAGATCAGACAGAGAGACAGGTAGTAAGTAGGTAGACAGAAGACAGGCGGTGATAGATGATTGATAGAAAAATAGTAGTAGTTAATATATAGAGAAAAATAACAGATATAAATAGAAAATATTATCAACAGACAAATAGATAAAAGTGATAGATATTGATAAGTTAAAATAACAACAAATTTATAGAAATATATCTATAAATATATACTAATTGTTAATAAACAATTACACAATAAAAACAAGTCGATAAAATATAATAGATGCTAGGTGGGTAGTGGATGGTAGAAAAAAAATAATGAATGATACATGTTAGACACAGATAGCAAAACATAGTATAGATGATAGATTATGTAGATAGATAGATAGATAGATAGATGATAGATTAGCTATAGATAGATAAATAGAAAGGATGATGAAAGAGGGAAAGAAAGAAAAAAGGAAGAGAGAGAGGGAGAGAGAGAGAGAGAGAGAGAGAGAGAGAGAGAGAGAGAGAGAGAGAGAATAATAGAGGCTCTATGAAATGGAAGAAAGAAATGAAGGAGTTAGGGCTGTCACATAGAGCAGAAACAATTTTTCTAGATTGGAAAACGAGTAACATAACAAAGGACAAGAGGCTTCCTGTGGGTGCAGGAAACTAAACTAGCTCAGAGCATAGGATTATCAGAGCAGAAAATGTCACAGCTGTGAGAAACAGCTAGCTCAAAGGCACTGACACAGAAGGGCCCAGGGGCTCTCAGGTGAGAGGAAGCCAAGCTGAGTGGTAATGAAAGGGAAAACCCACACTGGAGCCACCTGGGAGGAGCTCAGCATTCCCAAGCTGGAGTCCAGTGACAGGCTGCACAGCTATCTAGGCTGCCATTACAAACCTCTTTTTTGTTGCTCTTGTTGGGAGTTTTTATGTTTTGTTTTTCTTTCCTCTTTTTCCCCCAAGCGAAAGAAACACAGACACAGACACAGACACAGACACAGACACAGACACAGACACACACACACACACACACACACACACACACACACAATTTTCAAAAAAACACTTTGCCCCTACAAAGTTTTCACAGCTAGATCTAAGACCAGCTCTAAGCTTACGTGATATAAAAACTATCTCAGCATTCAGTTTACCAGTGGACTCCTGTGGGCAAGAGCAAATAAGAGAATGTCTGCGTAGCCAAGTGATGGCTGAGCTCTCCACTCATTTCCCAAGGAATCTGGGCAGAGCAGCATTCACTGTGCCTCACTGGAAACAGGATCCACAGAGTTCTCTGAGATCCTGTAATCCAAATATCAGCCTGCCAAAGCAAGCTAAAAGGATGCTAAGCTACACCATGCACAAATTTTATAACATATTTGAAGAGAATAAACGGAAACAATAAAAAGAGTATTTGATGCATAGACACATTTATTGTTCAGAAAACCTTTCATATGAACAAAGAAGACATACATAGTCCCCTACGAACCTCTGTCTCGCACTCTGTCAGAAGTCCCTCACAATCATGAGCAGATTCTCATGGAAGGCAGCAACAAGTTCTCAGAAACAGCTTAGCACTAACCATCTGCAAAGATGTTTTCCTTCTTTCTTTTCTTTTTGTTTTTTGTTTGTTTGCTTGTTTTCAAACCTGCTGTTTTTGTTTTCCTATTTTGCATAAACCTCATCACAGGTACTTTAAGTGGCTTTCTAGGACATCTTACAAAATACCATCCCACTATTTACACTAATATCCAGGCAATCAAGGAAAACACCATTTTGTTTAATTAATGTTTCTAAATTGGAGAGGTAGGTGTGTGTGTGTGTGTGTGTGTGTGTGTGTGTGTGTGTGTGTGGGTGGTGGGGCTATTGTTATTTTTTTAAAAAACACAAAACAATTACTGGAAGAAAGAGCTTGTGACTTGGGCATACCCTGACTTCAATTCTGCCAGGAGTAAAAACAGTCAACAAAATCTTAACCTCCTTTCCCTCTCAACTACACAACAGAGTTCAAAGGGATTCAGTCCAGCCATGAAAGACCAATGTTAGACATTGGAAGGGGTCTCATAAAGAATGGGCACCAGGCCTTGAATAAACAAGAGAGATGGTGACCTTCTGCCCCTTGCCTTGAAAGCCTGGCACTTGTGCAGTGGAGGACCAGACAAAAGTTTGTGTGTGACCAGGTGCTTTGACGTCCTTGCCTCTAGGTTTCTCCTATACTTCCTTCTTAAATAGGTAAAAGCTTGACATGTATTCCATAGCATCAGGAGTGAAAGAAAAGTAAAATTCCTGAGACCAACTGCTCCACTCTCCTTTAACCCTTTGTTCCCCATATTGTTCAAGTCTTGCATAATGCAGTCCACATTTCACTAACAACAGGAGAGACAATGGATTTAGCATAGCTGAACAATTAGTTCCAATTAGGCTGATTTTAAAGGTTTAGTGGGGTGAAGTGTAAGAAAATATTGGAGAAATTTTAAAGAAATATTACATCATGGAAGTAAACAATACACGGTAAAGCAAAATGAACTAAGGGTGAGATGACACTGCCAAAATTTGCTGTGTGGCATTGGGAAAATATCTTACCCTCTCAGTTCATATCTATAAAATGTGAGTGACTTATCACAACCCTTCAGAGGTGCTGAAGACCTAGTGTACTTTTGTGGCTGAATGTGCTGTAAAAACTTGAATAGTTTCACAGATGCAAAGGGTTTCTCCCGGGCACATTTGAAACCACAGATACCCATCTGTTTCGGAAATCATTGACTTCCACTCTCCCTAGCAAAATTCGGACGGAATAGTTTCCTTTCCCTTTGCTTCTCTTTTCTTGATTGTTATTATTTTTTTTCTTTTTAACATTCAGGAGAAATACTTACATATGTACATGTGGCGGCTGGAATCTGCTCTGGTTGATGTTGTAGTGTGTGAATGCCTGGGTGGGGTTTGAGCTATACTCATCCACCGTTATGGTAACTTTGCCTTGAGAAGGAATCCCATGTGCCATCCTTCCTCCCTATAGGCATGAGCAATTCACAACTCTCTGGAGCAAAAGCTGGAAGCAGGCATGGTGTGTTTCAGCCACCCTCTGAGTCCAAGGATCTACTCATCAACTCTGCTGTGCGTTCTAGAAGAAAAAACAAAACAAAACAAACCATATATATATGTGCATATATATATATATACATACATATATATATATATATATAATAACAATGAGTAAGGCAGTTCTGAAACACATACATACATATATATATATATATATATATAATAACAATGAGTAAGGCAGTTCTGAAACACATTAAGAGTGGAACCTAGATATAATTATTGGCTCAGAAAAAAATCTGAATCGCTACTCTTTCCTCGTGGATATAACTGTTGCCTATTCTTTGCTGCATGTCCCTCAGAGTGGACTCTATACCCTTTATGGCATCACTAGATGCTAGTGAATCGTCTCAATGGAGTTCAAACTAAGAATTCCTCTCTAATTATAATTATGGCACTTAACGTGAATTGTAAAAGTGCCAAATCCACAGTTGCCATGGTGTCTAGCTATAAATGGTTTGTGCTGGAAGACTCCACCAAGCCTTCCCTGCTAATTGAAATATTTGGATCTTACAAAATTGGTATCACATTATACAATCACTTGAAATCTTGATGTTTGGATGATCCACAGTACACAATGACAAATGCAAACTCAAGGTTCTGTGCTCATTAACAGACACTGGAGCCTAAGGACAGAATGTATATGCTGCACACGTTACATATAAGTTTGTCTTGCAGACACTTTCTTAAATACACAATGCCTGGTAGACACACCACCTTCTCTCTGGCTAACCGTGGAGCATTTTCTTTCAGTACTCTAGTCACTCAAGGGAAAGCCAGAGGCTCGAAGGTCTGGTCCCTAACTTTGTAACCCTGACCACTCTCTTCCCTCCTGAAGGGAGCTCTTAGGGAGGACAGTCATTACATCTGTGGCCTCATTCTTGGTGTTATGTAATTCTTGCTAGCTGGTCTTATGTTCTTAAGAAATTTTCAGCAGTTCCGATTCTTTTCATGTCAGTGTATTATATTAGTTGTCAGGGGTTACAGAAATGAAGATATCTGTTTTGGTGGCAGATGTTCAAAGATGGAGGGAAGCAACCCATTGCATGGAAGCTGTCGCAATCAATGATCAATTGGAGGAAGTAGGAGGCACCACACACTCAATGGCTAACCCTTGGCTAACCCACATTCTTCTCTAAACACCCTGCATCAGAATTCATTCGCCATGTACACTATTAAGTTCCAGAAATCTTAGCTGCTATCTCAAACAAAAATATTTAGAATAATAAGATTAGCTTGAAATTTGGCATGAAACACCTTAAAATATTGAACAAAAGGCAGATGGCCTGCGATAGGCCATTTATTTTATTATTTTGCAACCTGGGGCTCCTGTAGTCCTCCATATGCTTGCTGGGTTAAGAAATTCCACAGAGTTCTACTCAAATGATTGGTTTTTTTTTTCATATTAGCATATTAGTAAAGCAAGCTAGGATACACCCACCTGGCCTGTGTTCCCAGAACATTCCCATAGCCAAGGAAAGGAGCCCCTGGTGTTGTGGCATTTTTAACAAAATGTCTCCTTGGGTTCTCTTTCTTCTTCCTGACTTCATGGGAGTTGTGACTCCGGTAAGCACCAGTTGATAGGCGATCTGGCTAGTAGGATTAGCTAAGTCAAATCTTGCTCTGCTCCTCTGGTGTAAGATATCTATAAAGAACTGCTTAGGAATCATAATGTAGCAGTTTTCATACTAAGTTTGCAGCTGTTTCCTTAATTTCCCACACAATTATATTTTACTGTTATTTTGCATAACAGTAAAACACAACACCTGCTTCAAATTGCAGTCCTGTTCTAAGTGCTGTAATTCTCTTTTGAGACACAAAGTACCGAGACACAACTGAAGCGCAGGGCTGCATAATTGCGTGGTGCTGAAAAGTAAATACAAATGAAAACATCTTCCTGTTACAGAAATGACTGTCATTAAAAAGAATGTTAGCCATCAAAGCACAGAGGGGGAAAATACACGTTTTCAGAATAGGAGAACTTAGTGTTTGCATAAATTAGAGAGTGGTATAAAAATTACTTAGCAATCCTATTTTCCTTCCATCAATGTCTATTGTGTGAGGTGCAGAACATTTCAGAGGCACCAGAAAACAAATTCATGTCTAGACCGCTGTGACCTCAGAGTAAGAATCTGGACCCCTTGCCCAGAAAGACTAAATGTTTGGGGAGAAAACTTACTAATTAAACTAAGAGAGTGTAAGCCAGAAATAAAAGACACCCTGAGTATTTACAGTGACTTGAAGTGGTTAGAATGGCACCCTCTCATATTGAAGCCAAGACAAGGCAGAACTTACATGACAGATTCCCACTTCTAAAGGGTCCACTCCATCCTAAAGTCACCCTACGGATTTTCATTTTCTGCCAGGAAACACCTATGTCTCTTTGCAGCTCTGCCTCCAGCAAGGCAAACAATATCTCTCCATCAGCAGCAAGCCCAGACCCCTGCAATTCTGAAGGGCTAAATGGGTGGCTGGCATCTCATTTGAATTCATCTTTGCCTTGTTCCCTTTCAAATGTTTTATCGAAACAGTGCACCTGCCGGGTCTATCTTCTTTAATCTGCAGTCCTTTGAAGGAAATGTCAGACTGAGGCAGAGAGCTTCAAAACTTTCACATTACCTTTGCAGAAAAGTCAAGAAAAGGCTTTTTTTTTTTAATGCTATGTTCAATTCCACCCATACCTCAAAATGAACATATCCTAAGACTGGTGTGTGTGAGGGTTTTGGGGGTGTGGAGGCTCTTGGTCACAAAACCATGAGCAGAACCACTAGGCTTCACATGAGATTTGGGGGAAAGCTTGAACTATTCGAGAATCCCATCTTAACCTTCTAAGAAGCTGCATGACATTGCCTCAGATCTTCAGGCTGTAAAACCCTCCCGACCACAGTTAAAGGGAGAAGCTTTCTTCTTTTAATTTTATACTCCAATGCATTTTATCCGCAAACAAAGGAACCTAGTACAAGATGCCAAAATGCCTAAAGAAAAATCTAAACAGGACTGTCACTGCCAAGCAGTCACATTGGTGTTAGAGTTTCAGGAAAAAAAAGAAAAAAAAAAAGAAAAAGAAAAGCCCACGTGAGCCATTGAACATTTCCTAGACAGCAGTCACTTCTGTCCCTTAAGCTGCAAGACTGTAATTTTTTTTCCAGGAACCCACTTGGAAAACCTCTTAAAGTCTGTTGGCAAGGAAGGGATTAAAAACTGAAGGCTTAAATGACTGTCTCCACCTCCTAGACATCAGAAGTCCGATTTTACCTAACTTTGGAAGCAACAATTTCTGACCTCTCTACTCATGCGCCGTCCAAGCCAAGCCCAGGAGAAATGAACCCTGGATTTCACTTTCCTTGTTTAAATAAGGATGCTCACTTTAATCAGAAAGATAGCCGCCCCACCAACTGGGTGGAGAGACATTGGAACTCGCCTCTAGTCCAACCCCGCCAAATTTCATTCTCTCCTCCCTCTGCCTCAGGGATCCAGAACCTTCTTAACTCATGCTCCTACTCTTTTATGCGCATTTCCAGTTACTCATCCCTACATGCGGGAGCGATGCCCACACGCCTTCCCCGCGGTTGCTCCGCTATTTTATTTTTCTGAGATGCTGACAAAGTTCCACGTGCCTCTGTCCACTAAGCTCTGTCCACTAAGCTCCCTCCCTTCCAATAACACTTACACCTGAACTTGTCTCCAGCACTGCTGACACCCAGCTGGCACATTCTTTCGGAGAGGGAGGGCACGACTTTTCTCCTGAGCCTCTGACAAAGCGTGGAGTCTATATATGGTGGGGCGAGGGGGGGCGCAGAATTCTCCACTTTGGATTGGTTTGTTTGTTTTAAATCTAGGGTGGGCAGATGGGGAGGGGGCTACAGCTACTGCACACACACGCACTCACGCGCGCGCACACACGTGCACACACACACACACACACACACACACACACACACACCTTGCCCTGTCAGCTCTCCCTGCCTGGTCCTGACCTAACTCCCTCTTCATTCCTCAGGCGCTGAGTACCCGGCTGCCACAGTCACCGCCGCGGAGGCTCTAAGGACTCTAGATCGCTGTCCCAGGGTTGGCTAAGCATCTCACTCCATCTTCCTCTCTCCCAGCCGGAGGACCTACTAAGGACCGCTGTAGAACTAGGGCTCTGACACCGTGCCATCTTCGGTGGGGCAACACAGCCCCTGGTCTGGGACATAAGCCTCCCGAGCGCGCTGGTATCTCTGAGCACACAGACCGGAGCCCGTGTCTGCACCAGGAACAGCAGCTTCCTCGCTCTGTGTCCCGGTGCTGCCAGGCGCCTTCCCCGGAAAGGCTGGAAAGCTAAGGGACCCGGCCATCAAGCTGGAGGGGGTGTGGAAGCCACCTCCTTGCTCCCTCTTTGGAAGTCTTTCCCTTCCAGTTAAAGTTATGTTTGTTTTCCCCCACCCTGACCTGTTAGTGTCTGTACCATCACAAATCAATTACACATTTTTCATGACCCGCATTCGCTCTTAATTCCTCGTGTGTTGGGGGGTGAGCTATAAATCAACTCCACTGATCATTTTTTCACGCTATTTGCTTGCTGGGGAAATTTCAACGCCCTCTAGAACCTTTGGGGTTTTTTGTTTTTTTGTTTTTTTAAATGCTCCCTTCACCTCCTAGGCCGCAAATGCCCGAAATTCGAAAGATTTTTTAAAGACAACCTTGCCACATGTAAATGTAAATAGAAAAAAATTAAAAAGAAAGAAAAACCTAACTCTTGCTAAGGTAGAAAAGAAATTG